ATGTGGCAACATGTTTTCATTTTTTTTATAGGAATCCAAGAAGTGATAATGATTTGTGATATAAAAGGTGCCCAATATGATCTTTGTTTGAATATTTGGTAAAAGCTTGGCCTGAAATACCTCATATAACTTGTTCTTGAAAATAAAATGTTGTGTAGTATGTTTCATTTCATTGTATTTGTTAAAAGTGGTAAACTCAAGGTATACATAACATTGATATCTCTTCCTTCCTGTTCCTTACAGAAAATTGTATTATTTATTGTTGATTTTCCTTGCAGGTTCAAGATTTACTAGATGAAATGGGCCATCCTAATATAAATTTTAAATCATGAAGTTAATATTTAGGACTACTTGTGTATATATTAGTATATTAATAAGTACTTTGTTGTCTGTAGTATGTATTTGCCCTTACTTCTTTGTTTTTTCCCTTCTCTCAACAACTTGAATTTACTTTATCATTGCACCTTTAAAAATGTGTAATTTGATTCAGATTTTGTTAAACTTATTTCTTTGGATTATTAAGCACTTAAGCTTGATTTAAATAGATTTTTGTGTCAATAACAAAGCATGACTCTTGTTTTTTGCTTGAAATAAGCCTTTCCTACAACTGTACGGATGCAAAATGAACAGAATTTGGAGTAGAAATAGAAATGTTGTCATACCCTATGCTCTGATTTAGAATTTGTTTGCATGTATAAAGCTTTGAAATACGCTTATATATGATAGTCTTATGAGCATTTATCTGTTGTTTACAATAATTTTATGTTCATGTTGAGCTGCAAAGTTCAAAGACAACATAAAAAGATAAGTCACACCTATTTTTTATTGGAATATGTAGAAGAAATGAATCATGAATTAGTTTGATATAACTTTGTAAAATAGTTTGATTGACATAACTGATCCCATATAATCGTTCCTTATTTTTTTATTTGGCCTTCATTCTTGGTTAGTATTTACAAATCTAATATTATATGTCTTTGTGGGCTTATCCATGGGCCAACTTTAACCACTAGGCCCTGTGGGCTTTTGATCCTATGGGCTTTTTTAGATTGAGGGCTATTTGGCCATGCAGGCTTTTAAGCCCTAGCCCACATTGGGTAGGGCTAAATGGGTAAGGGCTGGCCAATTTGCTAGCTCTAAATATGAATTTAGTACTAGAAGAATGGTACTTAATTCTTATTTTACTTTTCTAACTCCTAAAATGGTGGAAACACTTATTTGCATGTAACACTAATTTAAGGGATATTTTTCACCATTACTTTTAAATAAAGAGCTTAAAGAGTTGAGAAATTTAAGTAAGGTAAAAAATTTCATCATGTTATTATTAACTATATTACAATTTGATAAATAATTACTAATAAGATAATTTTTATTTTGCAAAAATGGCTTCTCGGCAAGATATTGTTTTTATGACCTCTATGACACTTGACGATGATTAAAATTTTTTTTCTTTTAGTAGTTTTTATTGAATTTTATGATTATTTTGTATTGAGCATGCAAGACTCATTTTTATTTGAATTTTAGTAGTCTATTGTTATAATTTAATACAAATATTATACTTCTTGTCATATTTGCAAACATGCATTTCTTATTTACCTGCTTGTATGACCATTGTTTCAAAACACATTGCAATAAAAGGACCATCTAGTTTGTGTCATATTTGATGTCTTTGTATTATATTTTGAATTACCATTTCTAACTAGCAATATTATAGCAACATTTTTGTAATTTATCTACATCTTTGATATTTCACTTGTTTATAACAATAATATGTATTATGAACCCAATTTATGCATATTCTGTCAAATGGATAATGTCAATGATTTGACATATGTGTATATAGAGATTCTAATTTATTGTCATGTGTAGAAGTCATTGTTGTTTCTTTACTTTACAAATCAAATTGAAATTTATAATTGGTATTATAGTCTTAGGTTTTCCTTATGAATTGCCAAAAAGATGAGAGCAATTTAAATTCTCATAATTATATGCAAGCAAAGGTTCAATTTTAACTAGTTTCTTTCCATTTCAATTCACTTTCTTTGTTTTCAGTTCTTGCTGATTTTTCTATCTAATGTGGTACATGGTTATTACTATTTATTACTTTTATATAAAAGTAATGGAAAGTAAGGTAAAAAGCCCAAGACATTACAAAAGAAAGAGAAGAAGCAACCGTTGATTAATTGGATTAGCAAAGAAAATAATTTTAATCCTTTGGAGAGGGGATTAATATCCAAAGTTCCTTTGCAATGTTATGGTGAGCATCATGATTACGAAGATATGGTATCTCCTTTCTTTAAAATTAGATATTTAAGTATATGCTATTTTATAGATGTAGTTAAATTTAATCATTTGTGGAGCATAAAAGAAATGATACTTTTTTTATTATTATTGGTGTCACTAGTCATTTGCACCTGTTTTCTAAACTATTTTTATTAAACTATTTTATGCTAAATGAAAGATTTTATTTTGGTGTAAGATTTGAAATTTTGAATTATTGTGTATGTATAAAATAAAAATGTGAACATGAATCTATAAGAAATTTTCTCAAGTTGAAGGCTTGGTAAAACATTTACAGTGTGTTGGAATAGATGCTACAATTCTTTACTCAAAGAAGTATGAACCAAGGTTATATATATATATATATATAGAGAGAGAGAGAGAGAGAGAGAGAGAAGAGTATTGTTGACACATAATGCAAAATTGTTAAAACACAATTATCTAACAAAAAAATCAAATATATAAAGTGAAGAGTCTTTTGAAAGAAAAAGGAGAAAATAAAAAAAAGTTTCTTCCATCTTAGTTCAAATTTTGCATGGATAGAAAAATGGTCTAGATTTAAAATTTCTTATTGTATAAGAATAAACAACCGTGGCCTCCTTATTGTTTGAGACCTTAACCCAATTTGCATTGAGTGACCTTACCGTGGCCTTACCCAAGTCGACCTTAAGTAGTTTGGATTGAAAACTTCATTTCATTTTTAGAATAAAATAATTTACAAAATTAATATATAACTAACAAAATTTTTCTTGAAGTTAAATTTATATAAAAACCAATAATTGCATTCATAAACTTAGCTCGAACTTAAATATAATAATGAATTTGAGTTATTTATACAGTTAATACGTTTTATTTATGAAGTGTAACAATTAAACAATAGAAAAAGAAAATGCTTGAGTTGCATGACCAAGATAAGATATTCTATAAATGTGCGTAAATGAACTCTTTTAATTTTGTCGTTCGCAGTTATTATACGTACTTTTACTTCTTAAACTGTAACTTTGGTTTTAGGTAATCTAAGTTTTAATATAGTTATACAAAATTTATTTATATAACGGGTTCCGATGATGCAACATTGTTTGGTATAGCATTTTAGTTTCTTGCGAGCAGATAACTATTAATAGCATTTAACATTTTGTCTTGTCACTCACCTAAAAATACTTAATATTTAGTAGAGAATATTAAAGGAAAAAGACCCTGAAGATATTGGTTAATATTTTCTAATATTAAAGTTAAAAATATAATACAATAAATACGAATATAAATATGTCAAATGTGCATTATTATTGGATACGTATCCATGAAAGTATTATTTCATATTTTAACATGGAAAATAATAAAATAAGATAGAAATAATTATCATTTAAAAATATTAATAACACAAATTACTATCCCAAAATAGAAATAAATATTATAGTAAGTTGTGTATAGTAACGAACAAGGTTGAGTAACCATAGGACTTCAAGAGCGAGCTGGTCCTAACAATAAACCGTATACGCCTCGGAAAGTGAAGTAAGCAGCACAGTGGAACGTGGTGTGCCCACAAACTGCAGACCCCGACCGTAGTCTCAGCTTTATTTGGTCAACTAAAATAACAGAAACTTTTCTTTAAAATTATGTTATCCCTCTGTTTTTTTAATTTATAAAAATAAATAATTTTTAATTTTAATTTATCGTAAAATTATATAATTTTTTGTTAAAAAAGATTAAAATAAAGTAGAACCGAATATGCATGCAGAGTAAAGTTACTATAAAGCCCCACCTTTAAAACCTTTGATTCTGAAAACAGGCTCGCGGGTCGAGACTAGTCTCACCAACCTGTCACAGACACTCTGCCTCATGTTCCCTCTTCTGAAGCGCGAGCACACGTTGGCTCCTATCACAAGCCATGGCCCCTCGCATTTATTACATTTACTGTTTTGCCACTTGCTCTTCTATATCTCACTCACCCGCATTCAACACCGTCACTCAAGTTTTTCAACGACCCCTTTTCTACGCCACTCTGCCCATTTTCTTTTTTCCTTGAAGAATGTATGCTTCTATTTTCTATTAGCAGGTTCGCCTCCCTGTAACCGTTTTTTTTCTCCTTCAAACTTTGTCGTTTCGCTTTGTTTGTTTTCTCTCTGTAATATTTTATGTCATGGAAATTTGAACTCTAGATTCTCTCCTTCCCTTCCCTCCCCTACGTTTCTTTTCTTTTCTAGTTTTACTTTTTTTTTCTCTTATAAATTATAATAATGCTGAGGGAATGGGAATGCTACCACATTGGTCTGTGCTCTTCTCTTGTTGAAGGTACTGCATTTTTCTTCTCTTGTTTATGTGAGAAACGAATATCCTTTTTATAGTCATTAAATTAAATGATTCATGTTCATGTAATTTGTTTCCAGAGTGAGTAGAAATTTGCAGGTCAAATACATTATACACTTGTTGACTATATGCTACACATATTTTTTTTTTCCTGAAAAATTTCTATCATTGTGACCCCATTCATTGCCTTTGTTTTCTTTTCTTGAAATGGTGTATAGGAAGTGTAAAGAACAGCGATTTTTGTGGCTTGCTTTGTTGGTTTGTTTTATGCTCCCACCGCTTTATGTTGTGCAAACTGTGTTTGTCTCTCTCTGTGTGTTATGGCATTTCCTTTCTGTGTGTTGATGTTATCTTTGTCTTGTTGGTAGGTGGTTGTACTGTTGCTTGCGGATTCTGACTTTGTAAGTGAGGTAATGATGGATGGGCGGCGGCATTCAGTTGATATTCCAATTTCTAAAACACTTGTGGCATTGAGGAGAGTCAGGTCATTGAGGGATCCATCAACTAATTCTATGAGTAAACTTTCTCATTTGATTGATAATGTGCACTGGGAAAACGGTTCCGGTAATGGGATTTCCTTGCGGTTTTCAGATGCTACTCGTGCGTGTGATTCTGATGATAATGTTACTTTCAGATCAAGGAATTTAGGTTTTAAGGAACAAAGGGAGCAGGGTGATGCTGATTTTGTATTGAATTGTGGTCATTTGAACTCAAGGCTGAAGCCTAGTGGGGTACCATGTCAGGATGGCCAACATGATGATGAACTAGTTTACTGTAATCCTAATCAGCAAAGCATTTCTGGAAATAAGTCCCCTAGTGAAAGCTGTGGTAGCAACCATGGGGGTAAAGGGTTGGATTTGCCTTGTACCATGCCTCCCAGTAATCATTTCAGGGATGGGCATTCATGCTATGTTGCTACTGCTAGATCATCTCAATTAGGGAGAATAGATTACTCTAAGTCAGCCAAAAAATCTCTACGCAAGAATCAAGTAAAACCATCAGAGGTAGTGGGTGGAATTGCCAGCCATTTAGGCAGTCCATGCCTTTCTGTTCGCGATGCTTTCTCGCCCCATAGTGCCTTAGTAGGTATTAATCAAGATGTTTTTGAAAATATTGATAGTGGATGTGGAATAAGCTGTTGTTGGTCAAAATCACCAAGGTTTAGAGAGTCAAATCTTAATTGTGAGATTGAAGACCGTCCCTTGATATTGCACGGTGTTGATGAGACAGATATTCATGGACATAGAAGCATGAGACACAATGGTGGTGGAATTAGTCCAAATTTGGAAACTCCTAGAAGTTTATCTATGAAATTCAGACCTAAATCATTTAGTGATTTGGTGGGGCAAAATGTGGTTGTAAGGTCCCTTTTGGGTGCCATCTCCAGAGGAAGGATAACGTCATTTTATCTCTTCCATGGTCCACGTGGTACTGGCAAGACATCTGCCTCCAGGATATTTGCTGCTGCACTAAATTGCCTCTCTTTTGAGGAGCGAAGGCCATGTGGCCTATGTAGAGAATGCGTTTTATTCTTTTCTGGAAGAAGTAAAGATGTTAAAGAAGTGGATTCTGTGAGAATCAATCGTACAGACCAGGTTAAATCCCTTGTTAAGAATGCATGTATCCCTCCAGTTTCCTCACGTTTTAAGGTCTTTATTATTGATGAGTGCCAGTTATTGAATGGGGAGACATGGGCAAGCCTTTCAAATAGTCTACAGAACCTTTCTCAACATGTGGTTTTTGTGATGATTACTCCTGATTTGGACAAGCTTCCTAGAAGTGCAGTTTCTCGGGCTCAGAGGTATCACTTTCCAAAGATTAAAGACGCTGACATTGTGTGCAGATTAGAAAAAATTTGTGCCGAAGAAGGTCTTGATTTTGAACAGGCTGCTTTGGACTTCATTGCTGCAAAATCTTGTGGTTCTGTTAGGGATGCAGAAATGATGCTAGATCAGCTCAGTTTGCTTGGAAAAAAGATCGATATTTCCTTAGTGTACGAGCTTGTAAGTGTAATGCTTTTGTTCCATTATTGTATTTCCTCAAAACTTCATTTTTTTAACTTGGTTTTTAAGTCTTGCCCTTTGTTGTTCTGCAGACCGGGATTGTTTCTGATGATGAGTTGCTCGACTTGCTGGATCTAGCATTGTCATCTGACACTTCAAATACAGTTATAAGAGCTCGGCAGCTTATGAGATCAAGGATAGATCCTTTGCAGCTTATATCACAGCTGGCAAATCTTGTTATGGACATCCTTGCAGGGAAATGTGAAAATGGTGGTTCTGAAGTCAGAAATAGATTTTCTGGTAGATATACCTGTAAGCGCTTAGAGCATAATTCGTCACACTCTATTTAGCTTTAGGCAAATACATTCTGTTTAATATTTTTGCACTTCATACTTGTGTTTCACTGTCTAAACTCTGTTCTGCTCATATCCTATTTCTGTATGACTGTATCTGACTGATTATTTTCTCTATCACAGCGGAAGCAGACCTGCAGAAACTCAACAATGCATTGAGAATACTTTCTGAAACTGAGAAGCAGTTAAGAATCTCAAAGAATCAAACAACGTGGTTCACTGTAGCCCTCTTACAGCTAAGCTCTGTAGATTATCCATCTGTGGATGCCAACGATACCAAATTAAGTTTGAGAGTTCCATGCAATGGAGGTGAGCATGATTTTGTTTTCCTTGCTTATTACATTTGTTTTAATTTCTCTTCTGTCTTCTCTCTTGGTGGGTGGGGTTGGCGGAATGGAGTGGTTTTGTCATATAGAAATGTATATTATAAACTTTTCCTTATTCCTTGAATTGATACAGAATTTGATATCCGCAATATATCATCTACAGGGCAGAGCTTGGAGCATCTTGCTACTGGTCAGTGTGATAACAAGTCATACAGATTACGAGTGCAGGAGGATCGCCGGGGAACATTGAATTCCATTTGGTATAAAGCTACAGAATTGTGTCAATCTAGTCGGCTCAAGACTTTTCTCAGGAAGAAGGGGAAGTTGTCTTCACTTCATGTTGATCGCAATACAGCTTGTAATTACTTTGTTTTTCGTCCTGCTACTCATTTTCCATTCATTTAAGAATTTCATGCATCATAGTATATCTGCTATTATGTTTGGTGTTTTTGTTACACTCAGAAATTTGCCTGGTATTTGGTAATTATCAAAATTGATAATTATCTAAATTATCTAGAGGATATGTAATTTGCCGAATGGAATTTTCTCATCTTAATTTTCTACCCCAAGAAAAGTTTTAATAGCAATAATATTTATATTTATGATTGAGCAAGTATGTGATATCAAATTCTGCTGCTTTTCCATAATCTTGGTCGGCTATTTATATCTTTGACCTAGTGTATTATGTGAATATTCTGCACTCTTTATTTAGTTCTTAATCCTGCGTTTGGGAAAGAAACGTTTATTGTCATATTTCATAAATATCGGTAGATACTGAATAATACTCTAATTTTCAGGCCTTGCTATTGCCGAGTTGGAGTTCCACCATCGCCACCATGTATCTAAAGCTGAGAAGTCATGGAAATTGATCGCAAGATCCTTGCAGTTCATATTGGGCTGTAACATTGAGTTGAGGATCACTTACATACCATGTGCTTCTGATTCTAAGTATGCCAAACTGAAGAGGGCATCTTTCAGCATCTTCAGTTGTTCACGCAAAATTCGACGACGGAAATCATCATCTTTTAATGAACAAGGAAGTGAATCAGATTATGCTGATTGCACCTCTCAAAATCCCATGATGAAGGATAAAACAACTTCCTCTGATTGTGGAGTGGATGTTGTAACGACTTTGCGAAGTTGTGAAGGGAATTTGCTTAGCTCAGGAGAAAGGTTTTTAAATAGGTCATTTCAAGAGCCTCTGGAGACATCATGTGCTATAGTCGATTCCTCTAAGGAAGAGGAATGCAATTGTGCTCATCTAGATTCATCAATCCCCAGTTCAGATAATCACTCTTACTGTTTTCCTCAAACTATTTGGCTTCAAAAGAAGTTTCGTTCATCAAATTCATTCAAGATGACTTTTCAGGGTATTCAACAACAGAAAGATTTTGTTTTATCTACCCCTAAGTGTACATGATCTGGGACATCTAACAAACCTTGCATTTTTACCAGTAGCTCTAAGAACTGCACCAAAGCCTCTGAGAAAAAGTAGGTTGACATGTTATGCATTTTGGTGTTACTGTTTGCATTATTAAAATTGTTGAGACTGCAGTTATACAGTAATAACCTAAGCATAGTTGGATAGAATGAACTAAATTTTACATTGATATGTGGAGATTTATTATTCCAAATGTTGAAAATTCGTCAAGCTATTGATGTGCATTTTATTTTGACATGTTCACTATAAATAATTGTCAAGGACTTGTCGATAAATGCTCGGCTTTGCATGTGAATGCCAACAATATCATATGTATACGGATGACCTGCTCGTATTTTATGGGAAACAAGAATTCTCTAACAGGGATGATACCCTCCATAATTTGTGGTCAATCTTCATCGCATGATAATCAATAATCGGCACCCTTGTGATCATATACCCATTTTCTGACTGAAAGTTATGTATCTATCAAATTTTGAAGTCTTCCTTTGTCTTCGGATGCAATAAAAACTGAGGAAAAGAAAAATAAGTAACAAAAAAAAATGGTAAATAAAAAATAGATGAGAAAGAAATGAGATGGAAAGTATTGTTTGAATGGATAGATATAAGAGAAACAATAAATTTTTTTTACTCGTTTCGATGAATGAAAAAGAGAGTAAAAAACAGTTTATTATAAAAAAAATTAATTTTAACAAAAATTTAAATTTTAAGATTATATTTTTCCATATGTAATTTTTAAAAATTTTATGTTATTTTAAAAATTATTTTTAATAAAATATTAACAAAATTAAATAATCAATGTTACCCTTCTACTCAAATCTCATCATTTTATGAGAAAAAAAATATTAAATTATGTATACCACATAATGAACTATTCTTTATTCATGTAAGACAAAAGATCTACTATACAAATGCAATACTGTGTTTTAGCAAAATTTGGAGGCTTTTGGATTTTGAAAGAATAGGTTCATCATCAAAGAGTAAAGAATGACGCTATGCTAGGGTTTGCAATGAGGGTCATTTTACACTCTTAAGTAGCACTGTGCCAATACAAGAACATTGATACGAAGATCTTTTGCTAGGAAATTGGTACATTGAGAGCTAACAGAAGAAGGAGAGAAAGAAAGAGTTAAATGATGTTCCATTGAAGAAGGTCTTGTGATGTAAAGCATAAAAAAGGTTAAGTGGCATAATAAGATGGAGGGGGACACTACAAACAACTTTAAGAAGTTTGAAGTACTCTCAAAAGATGACAATAACAAATTTTGATAAAGATTGAGGAAAAAAAATCAAGTGATACGTAACCTTGCTAGAAGAAATTCTATTTTATATAGTGATAAAATAATAGAATCATAAGATTTAGATCTAATATTAAATACTGACCACATAAATACAATTACAGAGGACTTCAAATTTTTTTTATTAAGAAGGCAATTTTCAAGATCTTTTTGAACCTAGTATTCACCCTAAACTTAAGGTTTACTTAAAGGACTATGAAAATAGATGTGCTCAACTCCTTGAGTGTCAATCTTGATTAAGAAATTATTGGATAAAAGTGTGAGTTTAAAATATATGGATGATAAATTAAAAAAAAAGGATAAAATTGAGAATTTAAAGGTTTTGAACCTAAACAAAATTTCTTTTTAGTTAAACTTAAGAATATGCAAGATTATAAGATTGCTATGTTGAAGGTTCCTTGTTAGTTTTAGATCATTACTTAATAATTCACTGTTAGAGATCACTCTTTAAGCTCAATTATCATAATTTTAAGAAATTTGCAGTTTGGGTTATAATTCTAACCATCCACTAAAACTATACAATAGGAAATTTCTTTGAAAAATAGGTTGTTGCTTAAGGTCAATATTAAAAATTAATAACAATACTTCAATTTTATCTAGAGAAAAATTTGCTAGAAGAATTTAAGGTGTAAGTTGTTTCCTACATTTAAAGTTCTAGGTTAAGAATTTAAGATTGAGTATGATGAGTTATAACTAATTTATTTCTTTTATGAAAAATATGGACATAGAGAAGAAAAATGCTTAAACCCTAATAAACAAACCCAAAATTTTCAAAAAATTTATATTTTAATATAAATGAGAAATTGGTAGATTGGTCTCTTAACTCTTGTTTTTGTTTCAATTTGATTCTCTATTTTTTTTTCATTTTAGTCTCTAAACTTACAAAAGTATTATAATATATATTTTTTATATAAAAAAGGTTAATTCTATTAAAAAAATTATTGTTCATCATTTTCTTCTTTATGAACTCAAGTGAAAATACAATGTCCTATGAAGAATATCTTGGTTGCTTCTTTTTTTTCCTCTTCCTCCTCTTACCTTTCATCTATGTCTTTTTCACAACCCATTTTTGTTCTTCATAATACCACTTCTTTAGTCAACTAATAAATGTACCCTTTTTTGACACAAGAGATAGAAAAACATTGCTAAAATCTCAAATTTAGGTCAGAATATCAATATTGTTAGCTTGAATTCCTATAAGACATCTTAATAAATGATAAACAAAAAGTATTGATTCAGCTTGTAAAAGGCCATACCTTCTTTTTTGATTTCAACAAGAAAATTGATGGTAAATTTGCAAAGAGATGCAAGAAATGAGTTTAAAGGTTCTATAGGTTAAAGGATCCCATATGCCTTTGAAATCATTTAATCCATACATCATTTTAAGTTCAAAGTTAATTCCAAAAGTTATGCAAACAAAAAAAAATTGGGAAGGAGAGTTGAAGGCCAAAACTAAGTTATCTGAGTGAATATTTGATATCCCTTTAATATTTTCAACACAATGGTCTCTCCTTGTGACTTTCAAATTTATCACAATTTGTAGGAGGAAAATGAATTGTGGAGAGGTGGATGAGGGGTTAGAAGAGGAAGAAAATGAAGAAGAGGAAAGACATGAAAATGAGGTAGTCAAAAAATTGGTAAAAAATTATTGTATTTTTATCAAAGTTCACAAGGAGGAGGAAGATAAATATTAATATTTTAATGAGGTTGACATATTTGACAAGAAAAGGTTAAATGACTAATATACTAATTTTTCCTAATATAAATCAAGAAAGTGCTAACAAAAAGGAAGAGAACAATAATATTATAAGTACTTACCTTAATTAATGACTGTTATCCAACAATTTATTCTTTGTTTGTTGGTTGGATACAAATTATTGCATAATGTTATAAATAGTGTAAAAGACAGTCAAAGTGTGATTATAGATCATTATTTTTTGTCCTTCAAGGCATGCATTGATAGTTTTGTATTTTGTAAACTAATTGTTTAAGTTGATGACACATTTTTAATTGAAAAATATCAATGCATTCTATTAATGCTAGTGCTAGTGCATAAGATAGGAATCAAAATATCTTTCTACATACTTGTGGAAGGGAAAACAAAAGAAGCATAACTTGGTTTTTATATAATTTACTGAAGCATATAACATCACAACCTAATATTTGTATAATCTCTTGTAGAGGAAATGGTATTCTAACTATATTGAAGAAGGAACAAGTCGGATGATTAGAACGCCATGCACACTTTGTGTTTTTCATTAAACATATAGCTAGCAATTTTAATCAAAAATTTAGAAATAGAGTTCAAAAAATATACATGGGTGAGTTGTTATTATCTTTAAATTGTGGATTTTAGTTTCATATATTTTTGTATATTAATTTGAATCAGATATAAATTTATTATATTATTTTTAATTCAATAAATAGCATATGAGAATAGGCAATTATAGATGGAGGCAAAGTTTCTCACCTTACATGTATCAATTTCTCCAAGTTGTAGAATGGCAAGAAAAAAGAAATTTGAAGGATAAGTGGATGCAAGCATTTGATAGAAGAATGTGATATGGTCATATGACCTTTAATTTTGCTTAGTGTTAAATTCAGTTTTGAAGGGGACAAACATTGCCAATAGCTATTTTAGTTCTAAAAACATTTTATAGAACAAACATTTTAGTTATGGAGCAGAGAAAGAGAGCGATAAACATGATAAGTGCAAGACATGTATATTGTGAAGCATTGACAACTATTATGATAGAAAATCGTGGCCTTTCAATCTACAATTATGTTCATTGCTATGCAAGAAAGACACAGGAATTTTGTAATCAAATAGACATAGTAATATAAAGAAAAATTCACGTAAAAGGAATTAAGAGGAAGAGAATTAAAACTTTCTCTCAATATTTCATTGACCTTGATTGCATAATACATGGTATAGGAAGAGACCTTTTTTTAGGCTTTATAAACTAATATAATATTATATTTAAGAAACCCATATATGAAGCAAGAGAAAGTGGCCTAACAATTTGTTCCTTTGTGAATGTGCAGCCTTTTCCTTTTGACCATTACAATTTGTGGACTATAATTATCAATCCTTGCAACTTCAATTTCCAATATTTTCAAGTTTGTAGAATTATGCGCAACAATGCAGCTTTGTAGGCATCTATAATTATAATGTTGTTGACTTTAAGAAACTCCAATAAGAATTCATTGCTTTATCATGAAGTAAAATTTGGTCCAATTAAAAATTTGCGGTGTACTTGATTTATTTCTGACATTGTCTCCCTTAAATCAAGTGTGCATATTAATCATTCCAGGTATTTTTTTCAAATTGTAAAATAACTCAGCTTTCAATGGCTTTGTAAAAATATCTGCAACTTGTTCTTTAGTAGGACATTACTCAATCACCACTTCTTTTTTAATTACTAGCTCCTGGATTTTGTCAAAACCGAATGTCTATGTGCTTGGACTGCCTATGAAAATTTGGATTTTTAGAAAATGCAATTGCAGACTTGTTATCACAAAAAATCACTGTGGGAGTGTCTTGTTTCTGATGCATTACTTCAAGCATCCTTCTCATCCACACTCCTTGTGTTGCTTCAGCTGTTGAGAGTGAAATTGTTGCTTGTTTCTTTGAGGACCATGATACTACACCTGTTCCAAGATGAAATGCATATCTTGATGTGCTTTTCCTTGTCTCAATATCTTCTGCCCAGTCACTGTATATGTATCCAATATGTATCCAACTAGCTTTACAGAATTATTAACATAAAAAATTCCTTCAGTTAGAGTACCTTTGATGTATTTGAGAATTCTTTTTGCTCCTTGCAAGTGGCAAACTTGTAGCTAGCAATCCAACTCCAAACACAATGCCTGGTCTAGTGGCAGTCAAATATCTTAGATTTCCAATCAAGCTCTTGTAGTATATTGAATCAATTTATCTTTCATCACTGCCCTTTTTTAGCTTCAATTTTTCTTCAACATGTGTTGAGATTGGCTTTGAATTCTCCATTTTAAATTTCTTCAAAATGTCTGCAACATACTTTTTTTGAGAGATGAAAATTCTATCATCCTACTGAACAACCTCAATGCCAAGAAAATATGATATTAGGCTCAAATTTGTCATCTCAAAACATCTAATCATGGCGTCCCTGAATTCTGGAATCATCTTTGGATTGTTGCTAGTAAATATTAGATCATCAATATAAAGGCACATAATAAGAATATCATTAGGTTCAATAAATTTGATATACAGAGTATGCTCAAACGAGCATCTCTAAAAACTGTTCTGCACAAAGTAAGAATCAATTGTTTTGTATTATGTCCTGGGTGTTTGTTTTAAACCATACAATGCTTTCTTCAACCTGTAGACTTTATCTTCTTTACCTTCAATCTCATATCTTGCAAGTTACTTAACATACACTTCTTCTTCCAAAGTATCATTTAAGAAAGCAGACTTAACATCCATTTAATAGATTTTCTAATTATTTTGAGCTGATAGAGAGATAAGCATATGAATTGTATCTAATCTCGTTACAGGAGCAAATACCTTAAAATAATCAATACCTGACTTCTGCTTATATCATGTTGCCACTATCCTCGCTTTGAAGCGATCAATTTCTACACTAAGTTTGTACTTATTTTTGTACATCCACTTCACTCCAATTGGCCTTTTATCTGCTGACAAATCTGTTAGTTCCCATGTTTGATTCTTTTCAATGGTATGAATTTCTTCATTCATTACTTTTCTCCAATTCTGATTATCAATAGCTTCTTCAAAAGTCACTGGTTCACAATATGCAAATAAAGCAAAGTTGATAATTTCTTCATCAGATGGGTCATTATCATTACCCACAACATAATCCTCCAATTTGGTTGGTAGTCTTTGTTGCCTTTGTGGTTTGCCTGATGTTTCTGGCTCATTAGGTGTTCGATCTACATGTCCATCCTCCTTTTCATAGTTTCCTAGAATTATGACAGGCTCCCTTTGGGCTTTGGAAGACCAATCTCACATTCCTTCATCATTAAAGGTTACATCTCTACTGATAATTACCTTATTTGTCATTGGGTTATAAAACTTGTAAGCCTTTGAGTTGGTGCTGTAACCAATGAAGATGCACTTCTCTCCTTTGTCGTCAAGCTTCTTTCTAAGTTGATTTGGTACATAGGCATATGTTATATACCCAAAAACTCTAAGATGTCGGATTGAGGGCTTCTTTCCACTCCAAGCTTCTTCTGGTGTTTTATCACAAACACTTTTTGTTGAACACCTATTCAAAATATACACAGCAGTAGAAACTGCTTTTACCCAAAATTCTCTAGACAATTGTTTAGCCATTACCATGCATCTTACCATGTCCATGACGTCCTGTTCTTCCTTTCTGCTACTCTATTTTGCCAAGGAGTATATCTTATTGTCAGTTGATGCTGAATTCCATGTTGGTCTAGGAAATTTGCACAAGCAAAGTACTCTTGGCCTCTGTCAGTCCTTAGGGCTTTAATCCTGCATCCACTTTGCTTTACTACAAATGCCTTAAAGACATCACAAGCTTCTGATTTCTATTTCAAAAAATACACGCAAGCTTTTTTGTTAAGGTTATCAATAAAAATGATAAAATATCTGCTATCGCCATGTGTTGGAATCTTAACCATGCATAAATCTGGATGGATAATTCCAATAACTTCCTTGCTCTCCAAGAGTTTCCAATTGGAAAAGATTCTCTGTGCTTCTTTCCAATTTCAAAAGTCTCACATACACCTTCAAAAATGTTTATAATGGGCAAACCAGATACATACTCTTTTCTAGATAAATAATTCAATCCAGAAAAGTAATAATGCCCAAAACGCATATGCCACAACCAATCATCTTTTTGTATAATGGAACTCAAGCAGGGAATTTTATCATGTTTCACTTTCAAAGGAAATAGGTGATTAGGAGTCATTTTTACCTTATCAATGAATCTCCCATTTTTGTCAATCAATTTACAGTAGCCATCACGAATCTGCATGTTGTAGCCTTTCTTTGATAATTGTCCAATGCTCAACAGATTGTGATGAAGACCAGGAGCATATAAAGCATCAGAAATGAAATTTTAAGAACCATCCTTCAACCTAATAGAAACTTTGCTTTTCCCCCAAAATCAGAATATTAAATTATTTTTGAATTTCACGGTAGATTTTACCGATTCATCTAGTGAGGAAAATAATTCCTTTTTCCCACACGTGTGGTTGCTGCAACCAATATCTAAGTACCAAATATCTCTATTGCTTGTAAAATTATTTGCTGCTAGAAGTAAAGTTTGTGGATTATCAGAACTCTCACCAGTATATTGATATTGGTTTTTTGCTATATTTGCCTGTATTTTGAATATACATTCTGTAGCTCTATGCTCAAACTTTCTATAGTGATAGCAATTGAAATTTGTCCTTTCTTGGTATTTGTTGCCTATTCCTCTTTCAAGGTTAGTAGATTTGAAATTATATTCACCTCTTCCTTAATTATGTGGCCTGAAATTGTTGTCTCTCCATTATTGATTGAAATTATAACAACCTCTTCCTCTGAAGCTGCCATGACCTCTACCTCTAAAATTTATACTTCCACCTTCATAACCTTTACTGTTTTCACTTCGGCTGGATATTGCTACGTTGGTAAAAGTTACTTGGCTTTTCAATGCTTTTTCATTTACTTTTTCATTTTGCTCCAAGATTATGCTCACATGTTTCAATGCTACCTTGTAACTCTGCAACTGTCTGGTTTTTGTGTCATGGGACTCAATTATTGTAGTCACCACATGATCAAACTTCATCAGCATGTTGCATGGAATTTTCTCCACCACCTTACTTTCAAGAATATCTTCTCTATATACCCTCATCTTGTTGACAAGATTTGTTACCCGTGAAAAATATTGTTACATGATTTCTAAACTGGATATTTCGTATCTTTCATATTCTCGACACATGCATTGCAGTTTGGATTTCTAAGATTTTTCTACTCTTTTGTATGATAGCTTCAAAATGTCTCACACTTTTTTGGCTGTTTTGGCAATTGCTATTTTGCCAAAATTTGAATAGTCTACATCTTAGTGAATTTGTGATAGTACCAATTGGTCCTTTCTTTGAGCAGCATCATTAGCTCCTTGTTGTAAGCCTAGTTCAATAAAGCTCCAAATATTGTGATCTTTCAAATGGGTGAACATCAACAATACTCAATAATTATAATCTAGTTTTCCATATAATTTGGGACCAGACCAAACAATATTATAGTTTGTGGCTATTTCTCTCTCTCAAATAAACTCAATTTTTTTTTTTATAAAAGTGAGAACTCTCTTACTTCTCACACACTCAATAGTTTTTAATACTGACTCTCTCACAAACTCACAAAACTAGTGTTAGATCTAACGAGCTCTGATACCAATTTGTAATCAAATAGACATAGTAATACAAAGAAAAATTCACGTAGAAAAAACTAAGATGAAGAGAATTAAAACTTTCTCTCAATATTTCATTGACCTTAATTGCATTATACATGGTACAAGAAGAGACCTTTTTATAGGCTTTATAAACTAATATAATATTATATTTAAGAAACCTATATATAAAGGAAGAGAAAGTGACCTAGCAATTTGGTGCTACGTGAACATGCAGTATTTTCCTTTTGACCATTACAATTTGTGGACTATAATTATCAGTCCCTGAAACTTCAATTTCCAATACTTTCAGGTTTGTAAAATTATATGCAACATTGCGACTTTGTAGGCGCCTATAATTATAATGTTGTTGCCTTCAAGAAACTCCAATAAGAATTCATTACTTTATCATTAAGTAAAATTTGGTCCAATTAAAAATTTGCGATGTACTTAATTTATTTATGACAATTTTGAAGTTGAAAAAGAGCTAGTAATGCTTAAATTATCAAAAATGGGATGATTTGCATTATTAAATTGAACGGAATGTGTTGTAATTGTGAACGCTTTTAAGTTTATAAGTATTCGTATTCTCATGTGATTACATGTTGTCTATTTAATTGTTTGTATATTTCACAATTGTTTATTTAATTGTTTGTATATTTCACAATATATAAGTCCTGATTATAAATTAAAAAATATATTCAAAGTTTATCAAATGGAGTTTCATTCACTAAAAAATAAAAAATATTGGCTTAAACATTAAAGACTTATTTATGTACTAAATTCTTCTAAAAAATAAGATTCATGTTAACAATTATATTTATAAGAAAATAGATATAATAGGAGCAATGATCCATTAAAACAACATCATGAAAGTTAAATTATTATTATATAAATTTAATTTATATAATCCTTTTTTTTTCTCTTTTAATTTATATAATCTTTACTTGAAGGATAATTTGTCCCTTTATATAATCTTATATATTATTTGAAAAAAATATTTATTTTATTAAAAAGTATGAACTATAAAAAAATAATTTGTTAAAATATAATTCAGTAATTATAATAATTAAATTATATTTTAAAACAAAAAAATTAATCATAATAAAAGTATATAACATACGACTTCTATAATCATGCGATAGAAGTCGTTCGTATATTGTATATATAATTTTTATTTAAAAAATTAAAATTAAATATACATATATAATATATGATTATAAATTTTTAAAAATAAAAAAAATTAAATATTATATATATATATACATATATATTAAGAGTATTAATTGTAATATGATTTATAAAATATATATGTTATATATAACTTACTCTAATAACATAAAATTTTTATAAGTTACACTATTTTCATAATTTAACCGTTAAATTGCACTATTTTAGTAAATTATCATTAAAAATTAATATAACACACTAATATTAAAAATTGACATATTATTAAAATAAAATTTTATTTTCAATTAAAAACCACGGTGCAACATGTGCCTAATTTTTATCCTGTTAAGAACATAGGGTAAATTTTAAGTGAGCAACATTGTTCTCTTGTTCGGGTACGAAGACCCTCGATGCCATTTTTTCAAACGAAGAAAACTGAAACCGATTCCCCTTGATTCCATTATTATTCGTTGAACTGAACTGTGAGAAAAACGAAGAGAGCAAGTTCAATGGCGGGTGATAGCAATCGTAGCTTGAGACTGCTATGCCGTTCAAAGCAACTGAACAAAGGATCCGACCCGGGAATCCAATACTGGCTAATCGGATCCCCATTCTTCCCCCCACTCACCGTTGCTTCCTTCCTCCGATGCATTCATACCCTCTCCTCCTCCTCTTCCCCAGAATTACAAAAGGAATCGGAGGACCTTCGGACACTCATCTTGAAAGGCTTTGAAGTTATTGGAGCCGTAGCTTCCGGAGACGATACCAATGCTCGTGCGGCCGTAGAAGCTGCACGTGCATTGAGGAAGTTTCTTTACGGCGAAGGAACAGATCCTCCGGTCATCGGAGCTGTTGCCGGTGAAAATTCTGGTGAGCTTCGTTTTTTTGTGTCCGAGAGTAGAAACGCGACGAGCCTTGAATCTGTTGCGTCGATCGTACAGGAAGAACATCCGGAGAAGTATGTGTGGGAGAATGGTTGCTTACTTCATTGTGAGCTTCCGTTAAAGTTGCCACTGTATTACCCACTAAAAAATCCAACTGGTGCGTTTCCCTTTAATCTCTCTCTCTCTTTTCGGTTCGATAAATTTTTTGCTATTTCATTTTCCAGGAACATAACCTTTGCTGCAATTGAGAAATCCATTTGGATTTAACTTTTGCTATTTTATAGTTGTCAAATATTAATCCAAATTGTCACATTATACTTTGTAGGTTAGACATCACTTTTGGTTTGCATTTGGAAATTTGAGTGTGTTTAGGTGAAAACCTTGATTTAGGGTTTATTCAATAAGCTTATTTTGATAAACTTTACTGGGAAACATAAATTGAATAGATCTTATAAGAAGGCCATAATCCTAAATTCAATAAGCTTTTTATAGGTTAAGGTTTATTTTTGGCAAACTTTTAGAGAAGTCCTTATAAGAGATGCAAATCAGTATAAAAAATGAATATAGTTTCTTTCATAAATTAAAAGCAACTTATCTCCTCAAATTTCAGAGAAGTTAAATAAGAGAACTTCTAAAAAAAATAGAGAAACATAAGTTGATTTTAACTTATGAAAAGGTTTTGTTCATTTAACTACTTAATTTTTAACTTTTATTAGTACTTATTGAAAAGTTTATCCCTCCCCTCACCAGATGGTTTTATGTTTTGCCATTATTTCTCGTTGCCCTTTAATTAAACAAAGTAGGGACTGGGCTTTATGAGAAACATGAAGGCAATACATAGAGGTGCAAATTAGTGACTGAGTTGGGTACTAAATTCAAGTTCACCTCTGTTTTGCATTAATTGAGTAGTGCCTTTGTTGATGCAAGTTGCTGAGCAAAGGACTCAAGTTTTGAGTTACATTGAGAGTTCTAGTTGAAAGTACTTTAATTTGAGTTCAAGATGCTATACGATAACAATATTTATTTATTATGTATGAGAGATACTAAAAAATTTTTACAAAGGATAGTGGACAGTAAACTAAGATAACCTCAGCAAATTTTAAATTCAACATAAACATTGATAGTCAATTGGTGAAATTCATTAACTCGATTTCAATGTAAACAAAGTTTAGTTCATTATAGTATACAGATGTACAGGATAATATCTGGACATTGGTGAATTATCTAAGATGCATTTTTCACTATCACTATGATCTAAATGCGGCAAATTTGGGGCATGTTTGTTCAGCAGATGTTGAGAAAGCATATACACAGGCAACTGAAGCTGTTATTGCCAAGTTAAGAGATCCTCAGGCTGTGTACATGTTAGAAACTTCAAACAAATTCTCTCAGGATATACCTTCACCTGTCATAATTAGAGGTCTACAATTAGACTTCCAGACAGACCTCTACAAGATCAAGCCTTTGGCTGAGGGTGATGATGGCTTTGATGCAAGCTCACTATCATGTTCATATTTTTCCATCAGCAGTAAAGCAGGCCCACCAGTTTTTTCTGCAGAGGTAACATAAAAGATTATGATATTCTTAGTGATCTTTCACCCCTCTTATTTTCTACGGTTTGATCCTTTTCTTATATTATCTGATAGTATTTATGATTTGTTTTTGTCATGTCTTTGTTTTTTCCTTTCTGCTAACTATTTCATGAACAGTCAAATGACTACCATCCTCCATTTTGTGAATTTTCTTCTTCTTAGAATGCAGATACTATCCAAGTTAGTGTTCTCTTTAATAGCTTAGGATCATCATCAGCTTCTATCGTGCCTTTTGCAGAATATATTCCAGGTCAGGATTTGAGGGTCACAATTGATGTCCAATGTTTGCATATTGAAAAATATGGTTTACTTCAGTTTTTGTGGTTTTAGCATTTCTTAATTGAAGTTCAATTATTGCTTTCAGTCCAGGAAGAAACTAAACTACTTGTTGTGGATATTAAGCTAGATGTACTCTGCTATTCTTCCAGGGCACTTCCACTGAAATATGCAGTTTCAAATTTAATCATCCTCGGCTTAGTTGATCAGTTAAATATATTGGAGAACTTGATGTTACCTAACCTTTTGGCACAACATGCTCGGGTGAGGCAATGCATTGATCTGTGTAGTGACATAAGCTTTCCATGGTTCTACTTTTCCACCATGATTCTAATTCACAAGAAAACCGTACTTCCATAGTTAATCGATGTTATTGTCATTCCACTATCTATCATTGCAATTTGAAATTGCTTTTGGGAACTTGTCCTGTCAACAGAACACTCTCAAATGTGTAAATTATTTCGTTGTTTAACGTATCCCACAGATGAAAGTGACAATTTCAATTTAATATGAGCTTTACTGCACCAGGATAACTACATAGAATGGTGTTCATCTAAACTTTCAAATATATGAAGATCTATTTAATAATTTACGAGTATCTCTATATTAAATAGTTAAAAGAACCAGACCTATTTCAGCCTTCTTTGATAGGTACTAAGAAATTATGAGCATGGGGATGACAAAATAGGTAATTAATATATATGATGTGAGATACTAATGTTAACAATTTGGATGAACTTATCTGGCTACATAGTCTCTTGTAATGAAATTATGGTATGGAAAATATGTATTGTGTTTTACAAATTACCCTAATGATTATTATTAGTGATCAACTGGGTGAAATTCATGAAAGATATTGATTTTATTTCTGTGAATAATATATCATTGTAATTTTCTGTTTTTATTTTTACTCTTTTATTATTTAATTTCTTTATATTGTTCTTTCAGGGTAAAATTTGCTTTTCATGTGTATTTAATACTTATTGTTCTTTTGGTTGACTGGCAATTTATTTGTTTGTCAGCTAAAATCTTATCACTTTAGTCCTCCTGGGATTCTGCATCCAATAACTGTTTTCTATGAACTGAGTTTTGGGGAGACAGAAATGAAGCAAGGTATGCCATTTATCTTTGGCATGGATAGAATTTTCCTTTTACATTGTAGTTGTTATTAGAAAATATAGAATAAAGCTATACTGTGTTCTGTTGTTAAATTTCAGAGAGGAACATATCTGTTGAATCTTTTGGCTTTTTCAATAAACTTAATCAATTAAGAGAATGCTAAAGTGTAACATTTAATGTCACCAATGCACCCCCACTGTGAATTCCAATAAAATCCTATTTTTGAATTCCTTAATAATACCTTTAGGGCACTTGTTAGTAAGATCATCATTTATGATCTCAGCATGTGTCAGTATTTGGATTTATGAATTGTACATGCTTTCTGCAGTTGAAGTTAGAAGATCCTTGCACTCAAGGTTGGGACTACCTTATGATCGTCCCCTTCTAAGAATATCTAATGCCTTGGATTTTTCAAAATTGATGAACAATAGTATTGTCTCTCTACGGAAAGGTAATTTATACATCTGAATGGGAAGCTCTTTAGTCTCTATTCCTGCTGAGAATTATGATTGCATCTTCCTCTTTCTGTGTTGTATTTTCCAATACCAACTCCTTTACATATATCATATGCTCTAAGGTTTTTAATATTTGTCAATAATATTAGGTTCGTCTTTGCTCAGAGATGTACACATTGGGATTCCAAGCAGTGGTGGTAAGTAGCTATTATGGTCTTAGTCTCTCATTGTAGATGTGATTCTTTTTTGTCTCATTTGAAATGGGTTATGGTTCATGCAGTTTCTGGGGGAACTGTTTCCCTTCTTCAAGGTTCCTATGAATACTTCCATTATCTCCAGGATGGTTTTAATGATTCGGTAATTGCAATCCTTCTGCTTGAAAATGCTTGTAACATGTTCATGAAATTATGTCATCTTGATCTTTTTGGCCTCTATTGAAGTTACACATCCAAGTGATGGATATGTAAATTTGAACACAAAACAAGCCTCAGTTGTTATTGCTGAGTAGTTTAAGATTATCTGATTAGTGCAATCTTGTTTAGGCTGTTGCAAATTACAGTTTGGATACATGAAAAAGTCATTTAAAGTTATTAAAATGATAAACCGAATGTTGTTCATGTTATGCAATCTCTTAAATATATTTCATCATATTTGTTTTTAAAAATGATAATAAAAAAAATGAAATCAGAATAGTCTATTAATAGTGTGGTTTTTGTGTATAATGCTGTATGAATAACAAAAATATTATATATGAAAGGAAATGAGATGAAATGAAAGTGAAGGTCATCAAATTCTGATGTGTAGCTGCCCGAGGAATGCAACTTGTGGAAACATAGACTTGGCTTTCTTCATCTTTCCATGAGTTGCCAAATACTTTCAGCTATTTCAAAATTAGAAATATTATATAGCTTTACTACTGTTCCCTGAATGAGATTTGTAATAGGATTACCTTTTTTTCATGCGACTTAAAAAGTGAAGTGTTTTGATGCCCTGGAGTTCAGCTGCAGTACTGGCTTTTGATATCTCTATTAAAATAGAAGGGCACTTTAGTGGGCATTTTGCAGGAGTTGGGTCTAGGCCACTTTGATCAAGCTACTGTTTGAGCTTTTACAAATGCATTCTCAGTTATTTAACATTGACTTCAATGATTCTGTTTTCATTAAAAACTGGTTTGAGGGCATCAAATGCAGGCCAGACACTTTTTATTAGCTTTCACTTGAAGCCTCTTTATACCTTGTAGTTACTATTACTTCTGGGATGAGTTGTTAGTTAATCTTTTGGATATTTTTTTGGGAGCTAGATTTTTTCTTTTTGACCTTCTGTCACTCAAGGAGTCCCGACCTTGTTACCATTTCATTGTGCTTTTAAACTACTTTTCATCCGTTAGGTACTTGTGTTTTTCCCTCAGTGATCATATTTTAATGCTTTTTTAAGACTTTATGACATGCAACGGCAATATTAACAAGTACACGTCTCCTATTGTTACTTCCTGAAAGCATAGCAACATGGTGGAGAAATACTTGCATGTACTATGTAAAGCTGTTGGCACTTACAATTACAAAACTTGAGTTGTGATGTTGAAGAAAATTTGCCTTTCCTATCTAAAAGCTAGGTTTTAGCTTGGCATAAAACTATTCAGGCTGTGTTTGGGTGGACTAGTTATTGTGTGTGACATCTTTTCTGGTCAATAAATTTCTTAAAACAAAATATCATTATATTTACATACCTACATATGCCATTAGAACAAATGTCTCAATTTTCTTGTTGGATCAAAAACTAAATCACTTGCATTGATTTTCTAGGGATGGGGTTGTGCATACCGCTCTCTCCAGACCATCATTTCATGGTTCAGACTTCAAAATTACACGTCTATAGAGGTTCCTTCTCATAGGTATTTATAGTTTACTCTCCTTTAATGATTGTTATTCTTTTTTTTTTTTGGGGGGGGGGGGAGTTATCATTCCTTCTTTTACTTCCTAATTGTCTTTCATATTATAAATTTGTTCTGCATTTTTATTTTTCTCGTGTAATGGATTATTAAATTGGTTGTTTAAAGAGTTGTTGATTTTTCATAAATGGAAAATTTGACCAATCAATTAGTTCGGGTGACATTTCTTCACTCATATCAAAATTTTGCTTGCTATATTCATGCATATGAATATGATGTAGCCTGACAAACTACAACTTTGTCAGGGAAATACAACAGACACTTGTTGACATTGGTGATAAAGATCCTTCATTTATTGGGTCACGAGAGTGGATTGGTGCCATTGAATTGAGCTTTGTTTTGGACAAACTTCTGGGTGTAAGTTCACTTATCTTTAGTATTTCTTAATGTTGAACCATAGATTTGTGATCAAACTGTATATTATAGCTTCAACTGGTTTTTTGGGCCCAACTGGACATCGTGTTTTATGGTTTTCTAGCTAGAATCAAGATATGTTGAGCTTCCCACCCCAAAAATATGCTAGAATTTAAATACTTGATGCATTAATGAATAAAGTGCATCAAATATATATTTGCTTATGAGCCTAATAGAGTTCTTAATGTCTTGATTGGGTGGTTTACTTGCTTAAACAGGTTACTTGCAAAGTCATCAATGTTCGATCTGGAGCTGAGCTTCCAGAAAAATGTCGAGAGTTGGCATTGCACTTTGAGAACCAAAGTACACCTGTTATGATTGGTCAGTAAAATGATGTATTGTTTTACTGCTGTCTGCTATTTATCTGTGGCATCTCCCTGTATATAGGCTTGTTCAAAGAACCAAACCAGACTGAACTAAATGAACCAAACCTTAAATAATCAAAGCTTTTAAAACAGTTCAAGAACCTGAACTAGGTTTTAAAACAGGTCATTTAACCAATTCAGTTACCTCCAATTTGGTTAACCATTATAACCAAATTGCTGAATCTCCTCTGTTAAAATTAACCAGAAATCAAACTTCATTCTGACATCACTGAGAAGCTGGTGTGTTCAACAAAGTCGTAGCTCAGCAAGCTGGAACCCTCGTCCCCAATTCCAGTGGCAGGGATGCTCTTCCCCTCCCTTGTCATTGCTGAAGTCAGGATTCTCCTTTGAAATGAAAAAGGAGTAGTTCATGCAAATTGTTTGACTTTGTCAGCGGTAGCCTTGACCTCTTTGGATTGGCAACATTTTGGCCCTGGCAGAGACAATTGATGGGAGGTTGCTACAGGCTGGCTCAACCCTACTCCTTGTTGATGAGGTGGAGAATGGTGCAAGGGAACTTGATGAGTACTTCTTCAGCGGCAGCAGGAGTGATCTTGTCAGGGTCTTTGATGAGCTCACTGACATCAATTGAGGAATAGAGGGAGGAGGAATTATGGTTGGAGAGGAATGATGAGCATGTGTCTTGTTTCTAATCAATTACCTCTTGGTACAGGGAATTTCTCTGGTTTGGCATTTCCAATGGCAGTTCACTGAACCAAAACCAGTTTTCGGTTATGTAATACAACTGTTTTTATTCGTGTCAACCAAGCAATATACCTAGTACAGGGTGGCTTGAAAGTTGAAATTCACTTTGATGAGTTATGTTTGTCTTTATTGCTCTTGAGGATTTTTCGGTAAGGAAGCTGGGACTAACGATAGCTCTCATAACACTTCGGTTTCTAAATGCAGGTGGTGGTGTACTTGCATATACACTCTTGGGAGTGGACTACAATGAAGCAAGTGGAGATTGCGCATTTTTAATTCTTGATCCACACTATACAGGTACGGATGATCTAAAGAAAATAGTCAGCGGGGGATGGTGTGGGTGGAAAAAGGCTGTTGATAACAAAGGAAAGAATTTCTTCTTGCACGATAAGTTTTATAATCTACTACTGCCGCAGAGGCCCAACATGGTTTGAGACCGAAATTCTAATGAAGGGAACTAACTCCCAATTAATACCCAATTTCTTGCAATGGAAGAATAATTTTTCACTACGTAACGTGTGGTTGGGACTGGAGGTAATTCATTGCCTCACTTTTCGATTATTGATGTTCTGTAATTGGCATTCTGCGATTATAACTAAGCTTTATCGGCCCTCTCTCTCTCTGGGCCTGAATCTTCTGTCGAGTCACTTGGGCAAACGGTGTTTCGAACGTGGGAAACGTAGGATAACTCCATTTTCATTAAATACATTTTCAAATTTCAAGCCATTCGATACAGATGGTAAGCAAGATCTGAAGCTGTCCAATCTTTCTCTGGGAGCCAAGTTCAATCCATCTTAGAAGCTTAACTTAAAATTCGTAGCCTTATCCAGCTTGAAAACCATATTTATTGTTTGATAAAAGAAATGTAGATTTATTGGTTTAACTCTCATTTAGGCTATAGCGAGGTGAAAATTGCAGAGCGAGCATCAAGCAATTTTTGAGATGTTAATGGAAAACATCTTTTAAAATGCAGTCGATACAGAAAATCTACGGTATTTCGCTACGGATTAGGAGCGTGGTTCTGCCTGTGAATATTAACAATTATGAAACAGTAAAAAAAAACGGTTTTTTTAGTTTTTGTTTACTGTCACATGTTAAGATGTCAAAAATAAATTTTTACTGAAAATGAAAATATTTATTATTTCAAAATTATAAAAAGCATTCGATTTATGCTTTTTATAGTAATTTAAAGCATTTAGCAAGGTATATTTAATGTTTCTTAATATGTCTTTGGGCATGTGCTAGAAAAATGGATAATAAATTGCTTTGTGTTTTAAAGTGATATTATATTTAATCCCTAAAATAAGGCAAATTAATCTCTCACACAAAAGGTATATTGAAGGAAAATTTATTTAACCTTCTAAAGTTAATATTTTGAAATCATTTTGTAAAATGAATTTAAAAATCAGTGATTGGATGCCATGAACAAACGGTCTTGACATTGTAGAGATTTACCACGCGATCCAGTTGCATTGATTAACCGAAATTCTTTCAAACAAGCTTTTCCTTTAAAACTAGCTTTTTAAAACAGATTTTTTGTGGTAAGTTCAGTCACGTTTCAGTCTCAATTTTGAGGAAATATCAACTTTTAAGCTCTTCAAAGTAGATATCAAATATTTAAACATACAACGTCGTGCGAATTGAAATAGAATAAAATGTCGGTGAAAAGTGAATATGAAGCTTTTGTCTTTTGTTTATTATTGGGAATGGATGGAACCTTTCACAACTTAATTGCGGCTTCTCTAATTCTTTATTCACAAGTCATGTACTGAAAATAAAGGAAAGCCAAAATTTAGGGGGAGATTACAAATTATGATCATTTTGAGTTTCTCATTAGTCATAATGACAAGGGCATAATTTGGTGGCTGTCTGGCACTTGAAACTTCTCATACAAGTTAACTAAAGTTGTTTTATTATTATTATTGCTGCTGCTGCTGCTGAGAGTCTTATGCCTGTTAGTAATATTTTAAATTTTTATTTATGTAGTTGTATCATGGGTATTGAGGTACAGTAAACAGTATTATAGCGGCATGAATAATGAGAGAAAAAGGTGGCAGGTACATGAAAAAAGGAGAGACATTTGCATAAGGAAAATGATTATCAGATATTTTTTTTAATACCAAATTAGTGCGGAAAAAGAGCAATAGAAAGAAAAATAATAAAAAGATAAAATACAAATTGTGACAAAAAAAAAGACGAAAAAATGAATATACAGAAAAATAAATATAAAAATGACTTTTGAATTTGTGTGTAAAAACATATGTTAAAGAAGTTAAAAATAGAAATATAAAAATATTTAATGCAAACTTTTTATAATAATTTAAAATATTTAATACTTTTTAATATGTAAATGAACATAAGTTAGAAAAATTGACATAAAAATATAATATAAAAGTTATTTACGCATATTAAAAATAAATTTTTTAACTGACTTAAACTACTAAAAAAGTATTTTGTAAATTATAATTTGTGGCTAAAGGGACCCATCCCCTTTATTAGTAGTGAGTATATGGAAAGTATAAAGGGCCATTGCCTGACTGGGAAGGTATATATACTGAGAGTGAATAGTTTGACTAACATGCCGTCGTTAATAAATTAATATTTAGGAATCTAATTTTTTGAACAAAGTAAAAAAAAATAATTTAACAGTATGTAATTTAATTTCTTAATTACATTTTTATTTTTATATTTTAATATGTATTATTTTGATTTTTTATTTTGATTTTTGTTCATAATTTTTTTTTATTTTTAATTATTTAAATTAAATCTTTTCCTCTCAAAATTTTATTTAATAATTAATAAAATCATACCAAACGTATAATATATTATTGGTTATATACAGATTTGAGAAGAAAGAATATATAAAATAATTAAATAAAAATAAAAATAGCTTTTATCTTATTTTATATATTTTATTTTAGTATTCTTATTAATTCATTATATATATTTTTTATTATTATATAAAATTTTGGAATGTAAGATTTAATTTTAAAAAATAAATATAAACAATTAAAACTTAAAAAAAAATACTAAAGTGTCATAGAAGTTAAAATATAGAGACTAAATATTTGATTTAATTTAATTTTGGAGATAGAATTTAACATTTTATGATAATGAAATTTTATTAAAAAATTATTTTTTAAAATTTTAAAATTTTAATATAATAAATATTTTTTTAAATAAAAATTTATATTTTAAATGTTTAAATTCAATCCTAAAGACTTTAAATTACATTTTTCTAAAAATGTTAATTTCCCATTCTAAAAATAAAAATAAAATAGCAATAATAAAATTTTATAAAAATATTTAATATGTTTTTTAATTTGATACTATAAATATTTTTTTGATAAAGACTTAATGCTTAATTTTAGTCTTAAGATGTGAGGATAATAAAAATTTAGAAAAAATAGTAACCTTAACACTTAAAGCTAAAGATTGATAAATTTTATTAAAAATATATATTTTTAATAATTTTGTCATTTTTAAATACTTAAACTCAACTTTAAAAATTGAAGGTAATTTAATTTTTTTTAAAATATTAATTTTAACACCTAAAATTAAGAATATATAATTTAAAATAGTAAATTTTATTGAAAAATATTTATTACAGTACTTATATTATAGTATTTTTAGATGTCTAAATTAATTTTAAAGATAAAAATAAATTTTTTAAAAATAAGAATAAATAAAAGGTGGTCCTGACGGGGCTTCAGATTGTGATAGGTGGTGAGCCAGGTGGCAATTAAAGACAGGGCATATAACGGAGACACGTGGATAGAGGAAACAATAACAGTGACGTGTTGGTAACATCCTTATATAAAGCCTGAGTTGTGGGGTTCTTAGCTGGGCCCGTTTTCTTCCTTATTCTCATCCATTTCGTTTCCCTTCTTCTCACTTTCTCTTTCATTTTCAGTTTCACTAACTGACTCTGCAGTTAGCACATCCAAGAAACCCGACCCTCAACCCGATTCCGATCCGATTAGGGTTTTCGGATCCTCTCGCTTCTCTCGGGCACCTCCGGTTCCGATATCCTGTCTTGGCTCGAGATCCGAGCCAAGAACGGGACAATTCAATAAAGATTTCCATTTTTATCACTCTCTTCAGGTTCATATTTTTTTCTTCTTCTCTCTTTCTTTTTGGTTCTCTTTTCCTGTCTGTGTTTTAATTTCGAGAATGAAGGACAATGTAATAGTGATGTTACGAAGTAGAGCAGAACAGTGCACGCGCGTGCTACTGTTGAGTGATGCAGAGCATGCTTGGAAAATCAAGTAAATAATGTTTGTAGTTGAGTTTGTGGATTGTGATGTAGTTTATTACTATTATTTATTGCAGTTTCTCTTCAACCAAACGTGGTTTTTAAATAATGAACTGCGTGGTGTGTGTATCTCCTACGTGTTGAATAAGGGATTTCTTTTTAATTTGTTGGAAAGTTGCGCTGATTTTGAAGCACATGTGAGGTGTTTCTTCTTCTTTTGATATTTGTAGTTGATGGAGTGATGAGATTAATCGGTGAAGGTGTTTTATGTTGTAGGGTTGGCTTTCTTTTTCTTTTCTTTTTTTAATTCAAATTTTGGGCTTAAATGGCATCAAGCGAGGGTTTTCTGACCGATGGACAGAGGGAAATTCTGAAGCAAGCGAGTCAGAATGTGGAGAATTTGTCTTCGTCGCCGAAATCTCCATCCACCTTGCTTGCTGAACATCATCATCATCATCATGTGGGAGGTCCTTCTGGGGGTAGTAAGGCACAAACTGCCGGGCATGCTGTTAGGCATGTACGCCGATCGCACTCGGGAAAGTTTGTGCGGGTGAAGAAGGGTGAGTTCATGACCTTTTTTAAAAAATAATTTAACCATCACTATCCTGTGGAGCACTCAACTATTCAAATCAGCCTTTAGTTTCTGACCTAGGTTGTTGAATTTTGATTGGGATGCATATCATGTTGTAGGTCTTATCCTGTTTTTGATTAACTGGTTTAAAGGCAATTTGTCTGTGTACTGTATTGTAAGCAAGTTGATCTTTCAGTGGGTCAGGTTGATTAGTTTAGTTTATCTTCTTTGATTAACAATTATGATGTTAATCGGGTGTGTAGTGTTTACTTGTAGTGTCAATATCTGACGTCATGATTTGCTTTGTTTCATAATTGTCTAAATGTGATAATTTGATGTGCTGTATCTCTTGAATGTAGATGGTGCGGGTGGTAAGGGAACTTGGGGAAAATTGCTTGATACAGATGGTGAATCCCGTATAGACAGAAATGATCCAAACTATGACAGTGGCGAGGTAAAAGCTCTTTCGTGGTTTAGCAGGTAGTTCTGACAACAAAAATTATGTAAGGTTGAGTGGTTGAATATTTGACGTGGTGCTTGCAGTAGCTGTCTTTTCCTTTTGTGTTTGTCATTTCTTTCCTTTTTGTTTAATTTCTTGTAAATTCTAATTATATGTTGCATTGTTGCCTGCTTATTTTCTTTACTTTTTTTGGTGGCTATTGCAAATTGGATACATTAATAAGCACGTAATCTATTTCTGTTTGCATATTACTATTTATAGGAACCTTATCAACTGGTTGGATCTACCATTACTGACCCTTTAGATGAATTCAAGAAAGCCATGGTGTCCATCATAGAGGAATATTTCAGTACTGGGGATGTGGACTTGGCTGCATCTGAAATCAGAGAACTTGGGTCAAATGAATATCATTCGTATGTCATTAAGCGTCTAGTGTCCATGGCCATGGATAGGCATGATAGAGAGAAAGAAATGGCTTCGGTCCTGCTTTCAGCTTTGTATGCTGATGTCATCAGCTCTGCACAAATGAGGGATGGGTTTTTCATGCTTATTGAATCTGCTGATGACCTTGCAGTGGACATACTGGATGCAGTTGACATTCTTGCTCTATTTCTGGCACGTGCTGTTGTTGATGACATCCTTCCTCCAGCATTTCTTGCCAGGGCCAAGAAGGCTCTCCCAGAATCTTCCAAGGGAGTTCAAGTAATCCATATTGCTGAGAAAAGTTATCTCTCAGCTCCGCACCATGCAGAACTTGTGGAGAGGCGATGGGGTGGTAGCACTCACATCACTGTTGAAGATGTGAAGAAGAGGATTGCTGATTTACTAAGAGAATACGTGGATAGTGGTGACATATTTGAAGCCTCTAGGTGCATACGTGAATTGGGAGTTTCGTTCTTCCATCATGAGGTTGTGAAGAGGGCTTTGGTACTTGCCATGGAGATCCGTTCGGCAGAACCTCAAATGTTGAAGCTATTAAAAGAAACAGCAGAAGAAGGACTCATTAGTTCCAGCCAAATGGTGAAAGGGTTTTCTCGTTTAGAAGAAGTCCTAGATGATCTTGCCCTTGATATTCCATCAGCCAAAACCTTGTTTCAGTCATTGGTACCCAAGGCAATATCAGAAGGATGGCTTGATGCTTCTTTTTTTAAACCCTCTGGTGAAGATGGGGATATTCTAGTTGAAGATGAAAAGGTGAGGAAGTACAAAAAAGAGGTTGTAATTATCATTCATGAATATTTTCTCTCAGATGACATTCCTGAACTCATTCGAAGTCTTGAAGATCTTGGTGCACCTGAGTACAACCCAGTATTTTTGAAGAAGCTAATAACTCTTGCTATGGACAGAAAGAACAGGGAAAAGGAAATGGCATCCGTACTGCTATCTGCTCTTCATATAGAAATCTTCTCAACTCAAGATATAGTTAATGGTTTTGTCATGCTTCTGGAAAGTGCAGAAGATACAGCACTGGATATATTGGATGCTTCGAATGAGCTTGCTCTTTTTGTATCCAGAGCTGTGATTGATGACGTATTGGCTCCTCTGAATTTAGAGGAAATTGGTAGGAGGTTGCCCCCAAAATGCAGTGGGAGTGAAACTGTGTGGATGGCTCGGTCACTCATTGTTGCTCGTCATGCCGGTGAGAGGCTATTGAGATGTTGGGGTGGTGGGACTGGATGGGCTGTTGAAGATGCTAAGGACAAGATTATGAGGCTCTTGGAGGAGTATGAGAGTGGAGGTGTTGTGAGTGAAGCATGCCGGTGTATTCGTGACCTAGGAATGCCTTTCTTTAATCATGAGGTTGTGAAGAAAGCTCTGGTTATGGCCATGGAGAAGAAGAATGATAGGATGTTGGATCTGCTGCAGGAATGCTTTAGTGAGGGTCTGATCACCATCAATCAGATGACCAAAGGGTTCACCCGAATCAAGGATGGCCTTGATGATCTTGCTCTGGACATTCCAAATGCCAAGGAAAAATTCAGCTTCTATTTGGAGCATGCCCTGAGGAAGGACTGGCTCCTCCCATCATTGGATTCCACTGTCACAGATGTCTAACTGCCCCAGGCTGGAGCTTCTTGAGGACATATATTTTCATTGTTTCCCTTGTATATGTTGTTTTCCTTTAGCTCCTGCTGAATGTGGATATGTATGGGATGGTTGGACTTCTGGTGACCCTTTGAATATGTTTTTCTTTTCCTCATTTTTTTCTTTTCTTTCAGAATTATATTGCCGACGAAGATTCCTGGGAATCTCTGTAGGGTTGTGTAAAGTTGGCCGTATATTTTGTTGGCAGCTTTTTAGAACGATATAGCATCAAGAGTTATGAGAGGAATCGTATCTTAATATACTATAAAAGAGAGTTGATAGATAGTGGGATTATAAAGGTGGCAACATATGATGTAAATAGTTTCCCTCCAAAAATCCATCCTCTTTCATTAACCAATCACGTAATTTTATTTTCATTTTTTATTTCTAAATCCTTCTTTTATTACTTTATCTTTACTTCCCTGTATTGATTTAATTTTAAAAAATCTTAAAAAGTCTATTTAAAATTCAGTTATTATTTCCAATTTCTATTTATAATTGTCAAATTTCCAATACCAATCTGTATTCCTATATTCTGCCAACTGTTCGGTTTTCTTCTCTTCATTTTGATCCAATTTCTTTTGCAAAAATAGCGAAGCATCTCACTGCTGCATGCTGCATTTAATTGTGTTTCCGGATAAATGACTCACTCATTTCAGGTCAAGCAAAACCAATTGCCAGGTTTTATCATAAGCACTTTTCTGCTACCAAAATGGTCATTTTATTTTCACTTAACCTTTTTGGACACCTTTCTCACTCCAAATCTTTTCCATGTTTCCTTTTTTTCAAGCAAACTGTCGATAACTTCAAATTGGGACATTGACAATATGCCACCCGTTGTGCTCATTCCAAATTGGTAAGCACTTTTATTTTGGGTCCAAAAGATTATTTTATGTCGATTTCTAAACAAAATTTTCAATCTTGAGGTGGTTTATGGCTTCAAAATCAGGTGTCTTTGACCAATAATATGTAGTACCTCTACTATTCCCTTTTCTCACCATTTTAGATGCATGGATAAATTTATTGTTCAATAAGTTCTGTAAGTTAATAGAATTACATCTCATTAAGTTCCTTCCAATAAATTCTATTGACATTCAAAGTTCTCAACCTCCAGGATAATACGAATATATTATAGAGAGATGCAGAATAAGCCTTCTTTTAATAATTCTGTAACTTCTGATTTTGTGTTACACGTTTCAATTCACAACTTCTCTTTATTGGCTTTGTCAACTTCAACCACTTCACAGATCTCCTGTTCAAAGTTTGAGCAAGGTTGAAAATCATCACTCTTATAGGGAGCTGAAGAGCTATCTTGAAATTGTTGAGCCCATCTATGGAAAACAATAGGATGAACTGGTGTGTTTTGTTTTTCAGTTGCTGTTTCTCATGATACTCTTTTTGAATTTGGTGTTACTATGTGTTTTTCATGTAAGCATATCTTTTTTACATTGAAAGCGTGAAATCTGCAACTGCATCTTTAAGAAGGATTTTTCTGTTGTCCGTGCACTGAAACATACAATGAAATAATTTTATCTCGTGTTTTCTAATTGTTATAGTAAACATGCTTTGTTGACTTCACACTTTCTTTTGCATAACAGTTATGCTGTTTGGATTTTACCATCATATACTAATGTTATTTGGCACTTAATCCAGGGGTTGGGGAAACATTTTAAGATGATGTCAGAAATAATTTCTCATATTAGGAGGTTCCTTGATGACCTTGATCGCTTGGAGGTCTGCTCTGCATATGAGTATTTCAATCTTGGATCCTATTGTTTCTTTCCTTACATTCACGTACTTCTTTTATCACTTTCAGGTTGAAACACCTATGATGAACATGATTGCTGGTGGAGCTGCTGATCCGCTCATTTGTAACCGATCACAATGAACTTAACATTAGGTTATTCAAGAGAATTACTCCGTAACACTATCTCAAAGGATTGGTTGTTGGTGGGTTGGATCATGTTTATGAAATTGGTAAATAATTTAGGAATGAGGGCATTAATTTGATTCATGATCTTAAGATTAATATCTTCGATATGGCTTGTAAAGACTACAACAACTTAATGGATGTAATAAAGCAAATGTTGAGTGGTAAGAATTTAGTAGGCCTTACTGATTCTCATATAGATTTTGTTTCATGTATCTTATCATCTAGTCAGCTACTTGGTCTCGTTGTGTGGAAACCATTAAATAGGTATGGTTAAGGAACTCACAAGTGGCAGCTACGAATGGTTACGGATCCTTTTGATCTTTGAATTAACTTCACCGTTTCAGGTGGATGATGTACACTTTCTGGTTACTAATGGTCATTATAGTTCTACTCCATGATTGAATGATAGGTTTTTTTATTTTTAATTGTTATTGGTCCCTATCTTTTTCTATTAATGTTATTGAAAATTTGGTATAGATGTCTTTCATACGATGTTTCATAAACTCATTCCTTTGTTTTTTCCTGAATTTTCTATGCTCGATACTAAAGTTGGCTTTTACCATTGATAATTGTGAAAAAAGTATTTATTCTTTTATCTTCTATAGTTGATTTTTTTATATATTTTTAATTTTTTTGTGTCATAATTTACATTATCTTTTTTTCTGTTGACCTTCATATAGATGTGTACTCTTCATACCCATGATTTTCATATAGATCTTATGCCATCATCATAATTATTTTCTACTTGATGAACTTTGCATATCTTTTCTTTTCTCATACTATCATAACTGAGATTGATGGGTTTGTGCTTCTGTTATAAATAGGAAACATATGGTACAATTTGTTTTTTTATTTTTGAATGAGCTCTTAAAAGAATTGGGCAATATGACCAAATATAAGGGAGGATGGAGAAGAGGAAAAGCTGGATCAATTATATATCAACTGATATTAAGCAGTGTGCTTTCTATTAAGCTCAGTATTTATGTTCATTTTAATGGAAAACTTAAACTTGACACATACGTTGGTAATTATTTTCCTTTTTCTTTGATTATTTGTTTAGATGAAGTAGCAGGTAAAGCAATAGGAAAGAGAGGCACAATTTGTTTTGGTAAAGAAAATATCTCATATATTGGTGATATCGATTAAATTAGTGGTGTGTGTTCATTGAAAATGTATTTCCTTTACATTCTATTTTACCATTGCCACATTATTAATTAGTTTTAAGCAATCTTTTAGATGAATTACCTAATCGTAATTGTTGTTTGCTGTCATATGCTTCTTTGGGATTGATTTTTATTTTTAGCATGATTATACTTTTAAAGGTGATATATAAACATGTTTTTTGGTTTTATTTGTGTGAATTGAAAGCATACAATATAGATTTAAGTCAATAATAAACACATCATACCTTATTGTTTGTTGTATTGTAACCTTGAGGCATATAGAGTATAATGATCACATGTTGGAAGAATAAAGATTGTAACTTGAAGACATTAAAGAAGAATCTATGACAGTAATTAATTTATTCATGCGTTTTGTGTTCCTTTTCTTTTTTTCCCCTTAAATTTGACTGTATAAGTAGATATTTTATCCTAATGCATGGAATTTTTAACCTTGATGCATTTAATACATACCCAAGCACATTTGCTGCATGCGGCAGGGGTTTTTTCAATTGTGTGTGTGTGTGTGTATATATATATATATATATATCTTACATCATTGGTGTTAGATTATAAATTATTTACTCATTCAAGCAAAGGTGTAATATATCAACCATAATAACTGAGATGGGTCAAATTAAAAATTCAAGTAGGCATGTGTAAATAAATTGTGGGATAAGGCTTGGATGCTGATGGATCAGCATGTGTAAATAAATTCCTTGTTTGTATATATTATTGAATTCAAAATTGTAATCGTGTTACAATTGGTGTATTTCCAAAATTATGCTGGATAAGGTTCTAATCCAATTATATGTTTTGAGCTTTCGATTTTTCAAACAAATTGAAGCATTAAAATAGTCAAGTATTTTCTTTTTCAAAATATATTATTTTTTAGAATTTAAAAACTATTCCATTTATGACTTTTCCTTAATTGATTGGAAAATATTGAATATACAATATATTACAATTTCTTATGATTTTTCCACATTTTTCCTCAGTTTTTTTAGTCTGCATTGTTTTATAAGTTGAAATTTGTTTGGACCGACAACCTTAAAGGATCGCAGGGTTAAATCTAAGCATATATCTCAACAATTAACATTCCTCAATTTCATGTTTGTTAATATTTGATTATCATAATGAATACCTTTATGTAAATTAAGTTATTTAAATGATGTTATCTGGATGCTTCCTAATCATATATAATACAAAGAAATACATTGTGATAGATTTTTTTTTTTGTGGAACACAAAAAGATGATAACATGAAATTATCCAAAAGCTAGAAAGTATTTATATGTGAAGTATTATATCTTAAGTACAATATCATCAATATTTGCTAGTATGTTATATAACTTGTAAATGCTAGTAACAAATGATTGAGTTTGAGTCATTTTGATATTTGAAAGGCATTTTATTGACATCTATCTTTTCTCTCTCTCTCTTATAAAAACAATTTTGTTCCATAACGATTCAAATTCAAAGAATAATATATAAAAATAAAAAATTTAATAAAAGCTTCTCATAATATTTTAAGAATGAAAAGAGTTATTATATGAATATTTTATTTTTTTCATCATTCATTTCATGACTGTAAACTATTAATATTCTCTAATTTTCACACACACAAAGAATAAAAAGAGTTATTATATAAATATCTTGTTTTATTATCGTTCACTTTATGATTGTAAGCCATTAGTATTTTCTAATTTTTTCACATACACATAATATATAACCTGTTAGATTTAAATTAAATAAAAGGCTCAGATTAAGTGTAAGAATTTTTAAACTTACACCGATGTAAGAAGATTTATATATATATATATAGCCGATCTACTTCAACTGTTTCCCTAACAAAACGGTGAATCTTCTTGATGTTCACATCTTTGACTCTCTATTTCTTAATATTTGCTTTCATGGCTTAGACATGAAAGAGGAATTTATTTCCGCAGCTTTAATCTATAAGATTCAGTATAAGGTCATGAACTCTTGTACTTTTAAAGTCCTTCTTAAACCACATAAATAAAATCAGATCGACTACTGTAAGCATCAATCCTAAAAGAGAATGAGTTTCTTCTATCAAAATCAGAGTATCTAATTTCTAACTTATTCTTCCCTTAATGAGTCTTATGATATTGTCTCATAAATTCATTATTAATAAGGAATACCTTAGGAAAGATTTTTACTCTGAGGATTGGAAACCTCAAAGAGAGTGATTTTTCAAGAATTATAAGGGTAAGAATAGATCTTATATACAAGAGAAGTTTTATAAAATTCTCGAAAAAGTTAAAC